AAAGTCAACTCAAACTCATATACAATGCCAGGAATTAGCACACCATCAAGCTCTTTGCTAAACTTTTTTTTCCTTGCCCCATTACATTGAAGTATTGATGAGTAAAATGGCAAATGTTTCCCTTTATTGGGACTCAAATCAAAGTATTTAAAACTAGATCAGATAAAGATTTCTTCCTAGAGAAGTATCCACGGGCTATCTATATATAAAAAAGCCTAAGTGACTGGCTGACCATCTGACCATCCGACTGTCCGGTAGCTGTGATGCACCATGACCACCAGGGGGCAGACTGTCAATGCAGGAGCTGCAGAGCTGAGGTGACTTTGTAGCTGCGGTGACTTTGTAGCTGCGGTGACTTGGCAACTGCAGTTCTTGGGTGATGCATCTGGAACCAGAGAGGAGGGAGCCTGATTCCAGGGTGCGTCACCTAAGAACCGCTCTCTTGTAATTCGGCACTCCTCGGGGGATGTTGGAGAGCTGGTTTCAGCCTGATCCCCGCAGATCAGGCCGAGGGACCCCACCGGTTCATGAATCCATGCACCGGGCCTCTAGTCTTATATGAAAATCTATTCAGGGACACTTCCATTTTTTCCTTTAAACCAAATTTGTAGTTACCAGTTATAGTCAAGAAATTTAATAAAGTTAAGGTTTCCTGCCTCCACCCCTTAAGAAAATGTTGCCGAAGTTCCAAAATGCAGACTCTTCCAAAAAATGTGATAAACTTTCCTGGAGATTTATTTGAATAATTACATTTACAGACTATGTAAATGCTATGTAGTGCACTAAGGGTACACTACCAGGTTGGAAAAATTAGAGGAAAAGATCTAATAAGAAAAGGAAGGTAGACTAAAAGTCATTTATCTTACAAATAAAAATATGTTGTTCCCATTAAATAGATTTTATTAGATTGAAAACCATTTTCCAATATTTCCTACCCTCAACAGAGACCATGGGTTTTAGCTGCAGGGCAGACAGTATGGGATAGTGGAGGCCAACTTGGTTTGAATTCTAGCATTATCTGTAAACTTTGTGACCCTGGTAAATTTCTTAACCTATCTAGTCTCTGTTTCCTCATATATACAGTGGGGATGATACTATTGAGCTTTTGCATAGTTGTAAAGGTTAGAGATACTGTGTGTAAAATACCTAGTACAGTGTATGACACACAGTAGACAGTAAGTTATAATTGTAGTCATTTTAATACATTGAAGCTTGGAGGGAGATCATCCCAAGCCCTTCAGTTTACAACTGAGGAATCTCAGGATCCAGTGTTTAAATGACTACTAGCCCAGTGAAACAGAATTAGTCAATGGTACATTAAGTCTATTTTAGTGTTCAGGGAAATGAAAGCACCATGTGGTACAGTAACTTACACAGGGCCATTCAAAGAAACCCTGGCATTACATAGATTGAACAAAAAGTCTAGGTTCCCTATCTCCACATTCATTGCAATTTGCTACCACTTATATATAGCTCTTCATCCAATGGCTTTTGACCTTTTACCTTTTGCTGACTTTTAAAATCCCATTTGATAATTTATTCCAACTTTAGGACAAATGATCTCAAAAGCAAATTTTACTTCATCCTATTTTTAGAATAGATTCAGAAAATAAATTAGCTGTCTTGCAGATTAACATTTATTTGACTTACCTTGCATAATTAAGGACATGTTGGAGAGCCTGCCCGTAATTGCAATATGTTGCTTGTTAAAGTCTTAGGCCAAGCTCTCTTTCCTAACCTCAAAATGGTACTCCCTAGATGTACTTTTCCATTCTCTACTGATCTATAGCTTTTTAGCTTTTCTTTATTAGCTTCTAGGTGGAAAGAAAAAAAGTCAAACCTCTCCTTAAAGAAATCCATTATACATTTGCTGTCTTGTAAGGGGGAAGGAAGAAAGAACTGAAGTGTATGGTAGTTGTTAAGAAAAAATAAAGAAACAAATTGTTCTTTCTTGAGAGATAAAGAACCTGCAGGAGAACCTCAAAGATATAATTAGCAATTAGCAAGACTCTCCTTTCAATTTGCACACTGTGTTTTAATGACTTCTTGCATGATTTTTCCTTCTTGCACGAAAGTCTATGAAACTGCCCTGCAGCATTCCATATAATGAGAATCTCACTTCTGATTCACTGCCAAGGGTGAGTGCTGTCTATATTCGGCACAGAGATAGGTGCCTTGGTTAAGTACCTAAGAGTTCTGACCAGCATTTTCAAGAATGACTGATGTCTGGACATAGGTTCTGCTATCTGAGTGACTTTGAAGATCACTAACAGGGTCTTCAAGCACTGTTAACATAGTTGAAGGAGATGTGGTGGATACTTCGTGTGAGTCACACATTCCCTTCCTTTAAACATCCTCCTTCACTCACTGTATCAGAGCAGATGTTGCCAACATCAGCTCAGTACATTAAGTGAAGGCAGTCTTAGATGGATTAGACATTCAGCTATCTGAATCCTCAGCCAGATGTTCTTAGGGTTCCTGAATGCGTTGGGACCAATCAAGAATACCAGGTTATTGTAAAGGCCACTTTTGGATAGAAAGATGAGTAAATATAGCCAAAGGAAAATGCACTACTAGCTATGACAAGAAAAACTTAAATATTAACTTTAATAGATACATAAATTTTGGCACTCTCATTACTGATGCTTCAGGAGTTCATGTAAATCCTCTTCATCAGGATTCTATTACTGTTACTTTCCAAGGGGGGGAGGGGATCTGCAAGGAACCGATTATCTGCTTTATTTGAAAAAGCCGATACAGTCATCCTCTATGTGGCAGATTGAATGTGGTAGATGAGATGAGTGGTTTGCATATTAGTGGCAACTCAGGAGGATGTCTATTTCAGGCATAATACAAGCTAGATTCCTCCATATTTCTTATGCAGAAAACCTTAAAATACTCACAAGTGTTTTAAACCTGTGTAAAGGTGGGACCCAGCCCATATTTCCCTGAAAGATGAGCTAATTATATGTTGCCCCTGAGTTCTGCATTCAATATTCAAGTATGTGATGTGGACCTACTACATGTAAGAAATGAAAGCTGGCACCAGAGAAGAAAAAAACATTTCAAAACACTTTAACATGATACTTGGGGACTTACGTTCCCTTAAGGAAACAAGTTTATCTGCTTTAAGCACCACTGAAATTCCTCTTAGGAATACTTGGTGTAGGTAAAAGTTACTTAATTGATCAATTACACAATAAACATGTGTAGTGGATCCCACACTGTGCAAGATATTGCCAACGAGGTGGGGAAGATTCAAAAGAAATATTAGATGTAGTTTCTCATCTCAAGCAGCTTACTTCAGTAATAAAAAAACACCTCCCGTTCATGAAAGAACTGCTAAGTAAAATAAGGCAAAATATAATCAAGTGCTAATTGGGTAGTGTAGACACTGTTAAAGAAATTCAGATTTAATTGGCTGTGATTATCCAGAGGGGCTTTATGAAAGGCACAGATATAACTTGAATATGGCCTTGAAGAAAGGGAAAGCTTTAAACTTTGATTGTGGGTGGAATTTAATCCCCATATGGCAAATGTCAAATGACTAAAGAGTAAACTCTTAATATTTGAAATAATAAGTGAACATCTAACAAACTAAACACATTGACTTCACTATATCTTTTTTGGCATGGAAAGATGTTCATAATAAATTAAGTATGAAAAGCAGATTTTAGAACAGCATTCTGTAATATGATTCCATTAGTAGAAAATAAAATATATGGTAGGCCTAGAAAAAAGTCTAGATAGATATATACTAAAATGTTAACAGTGGTTTTCTATATGTGATAGGATTATGGGTGACTTTATTTAAAATATTTTTGCATTTTCTTTTTCTTTTTTAAAATATATTTTATTGAGTTTTTACAGAGAGGAAGAGAGAGGGATAGAGAGTTAGAAACATAGATGAGAGAGAAACATTGATCAGCTGCCTCCTGCACACTCCCTACTGGGGATGTGCCCGCAACCAAGGTACATGCCCTTGACTGGAATTGAACCTGGGACCCTTCAGTCCGCAGGCTGATGCTCTATCCACTGAGCCAAACCGGTTAGGGCTGCATTTTATTTTTTTAATTTTTGTGCAACTGTTGTGTTCTATTTGTATAATAGTTAAAAGAGATCACATTGGCTTCTTAAAAACCACTAAAATGAACACTTCATAAAACCAACTAAAATAAAAGAACACATACATACACACACACACTCACCCACCATCTTGAAGAAGGAATAGAGAAGAACGAGTAAATAATTAAGCAGATAGAGTGGATGATATATCACGACAGACTTAAAAGTTGATCCTTCAGCTTATGGCATAAGATGGCAATATGATCCAGGTCTATAAAATCATGAAGCTAATTGGAAGAGCACAGATTTATTCATAAATCCCAGGCAATAGACCCGAGCATTGGCCTGTAAGGATTGAGAAGTAAATTTAGGACAAATAAAAAGAAAGGCCATGCTCTCACAGAAGGCAAAAAGAATTGGAATTTGTTATCCAAGGGATGATATAAATTGAAAATATACATAGCTTCAAGAATGATTTAAATTAATGGAGAAAAGGTTCATTAAAGGTTGGTTGTTAAGCAAAAGCCAGAAATGTCTAGAGTCTGCGAGATATTCAACATATTTAAATGTTAACAGTGGTAGAAGAAGCCTGCATTTTTGAGGCTCTCTGCCAGCTAGTAATTAACCATTTAGTTGTTGGCCTGTTGGGAGTTTCTAGGAAGTAATCCCTGAGGAGAGGTTGGGGTATCAGGAAGGCACTCAGGGGGCTCTGGATAATAATTATCGACCAGAAAAGTAGCATTTCAATATTTTAATAACAGTTATGACTATACTAATGCATATTGGCTAAAATTTAATCCTGACTGTTCCTTTCTTCTGGGATAGACTTGAGATGTCTGTTAGAGGCATATTGAGATAGACTACAGCATGGCAATGGTCTTAAGAATTGGAGAAATCAAATTAAATCTTCAGATTACCAAAGGATTTTTTTTTACCTCGAGGGCTGTTCAGTGAAGCTTCCGATGCTCTCCCACCATCTCCACAATGACTCTGGTCAAACGGAAGGCACTGATCACCTGTTCCTGCCACCACTTCAAAATTCTTAGTCAGATCTTTTGTTTCCACAAGAGATTTCAACTTGTAGACTTTTCGAGTATTGGTGTCTGATAGATAAAGTGATTCAGACATAGGGTCCATAGCCAGATAGTATTTGTGAGCAGGACTTGTGCTAAGGAAGAGAAAGGTAAAGTTATTCAAAGAAATTTGTTCAGTATACAACCCTGGGGGCTGCCTTTCATCACAAATGGAAAATTCTCTTAACAGATGAAAGAATTCAAGTACCTTCCTTCTTATGTACTGAGTAGATGGATACTTCATTTTTCTAGTAGTGGATCTGAGTATAGAAAAATTCACTGCCACTGCTAACCTATAATAATGCTGATATTTCAATACCATCCATTGTGGGTAGAGGAAAAAGCAGAAGAGAATAAGTCCCAGGAGGTCATTTTTTCATACATACCTTTCATACCCAGTTTCTCCAAATACCCACTAGATGACTGCCTGGATGTCTCACAGTCACCAATTCCCAAACATGAAGTTATTCTCTTTTCCTGCCGTTCCTATCCCTCATAAACCTACCTCTCTTCCAGGCTTCCTGACTCATTTGCAGACACTATCATCCTTCCAAGCTCCTGTTGTAAATTGATACTTTATTTTGTTACTGAAATTGTTCTAGCTTTAACCCTTGGGAGCAGAATTTTTATTGGCTGGTGTGCCCCTTTGACATACCTCCACTAGTGTGGGGTCTTCCTTCCTTCTTTCTTTCCTTCCTTCCTTTCCTTCCTTCCTTCCTTCCTTCCTTCCTTCCTTCCTTCCTTCCTTCCTTCCTTCCTTCCTTCCTTCCTTCCTTCCTTCGCACTTCCTTAGTTTTTGGAACTACAAGATGCTCCAGGTTCATCTTATGTAATCCCTGTCCCAGTATTACAATGAGTCATTTCTCTAAGGACCCCTGGTTCCTTTTATTGGAAAATGGTATTGGAAACTGAGATCTGGGTGCTGGGCATTAAGCATTATTATTTTCACATATCTCTCCTGCAACTACACTGTGAGCTCTTTGCAGGTAGGAACTGTATTCATCTCTCTATCCCCAGTGCCAACAGAGTGTCTGACAGGGTCGATGTTCAGTAACTGCTGAACTAAACTGAACTGAAGGACATGAAACTAACTAAGACATGGAAGAGTTCAGGCCTTGGCTACTTGCCAAGCAAAATGGAGGGGAGAGGTCATCAGAATAATTAAGATATCCTTAAGGACTGGCATGTTCCTGATTCTATTTGTAATTGTATTTGCCCTCTAAGCATATTTATGCATGTGAAGGATAGTAAAGGCTTGCAAATACTGATGAAAGACCCAGTTTAGAGTTTTAATTGGCAAAAAAATCAGATCCAATTGGAATACTTGATTTTTTTCTACTTACCTTCATCAAATAAGAGAATCCGGTAGATTCCAGGGACATCTTCAACCCTGGAACCACCATGACAGCTGCTGTAAATAAACTGTAAAGGGCCCCAACAGACTCCAGAATTGATTTGGCAGTCATGTCAGACAAGGCATCTCTGTAGCAAAGACTGCTTAAATACAGGTTTGAGTAAAAGTGTTTACATATCTGGTTGAATTTTTGCCTTCAGAATAAAATTTCTTCAGTGCCCTTATATCTTTCTAGACTAAAGGAGAAGGGTCACAACCCTTCCTGAAAACAACTTTCAATACTTCGGTAGCCTGTTTATGGAAGTTTCACCTAAGCCAGATGAATCAGGTTTTGTTTAGGAAAAGTCCATGGGCTGTTTTTCCAAGAGAAATGGTATTCGTACAAAAGCACTTTGGAATGTATTACATTCATTTATTAACAAATACTCCCAATGTGCCTGTGAGGGAAGTTAGAATAGTCATTCTCCTCAAATCTCAGCTGGGGAAACCCAGACACATAGAGGGCTTGCCCAGGGTCACTAACAAGCCTGTGCCTGGACCTAGAGTAGATTAGATCATATGTGACTGAGAGTACAAAATACCTTCAGAATATTCTGGTTCTAAAGGTGGCAAAGAAAAAAAATCAGTGTGTTCTTGCCTTCTTCTAACTGAGCAGCATATCCTATTTAGCTCAGCTGTTCTTAAACTTTGTGCACTGGCCTTTAGAAAATGGAATAGCCCAACAAACCAAATTCAAATCTGATTAATGTTATTTTCTTGACAGCCAACAGTCAGGAAGGTCTCCTATACTGATATGTCATTTCTTACTATTTCATGCCATTTCCCAGGTGTACTTCAGCTCTTTTTAGATTGGTTTCTTTTTACTCTCTGAAAACATGCCAAACCTGACAAAGAAAAAACACTGGACTAAATTCCAATTTGTTCAAATCCCTCATGTCTAAATGCATATTGCAATTTGGGATATGTGAAGATTTCTTTTATAACTTCATTGTTAGACTTACTGTCACCTTCTGGTTAGTTTTCCATTTGGGCAACGCCCTTCAACTGAACAAAAATCACTTCATTCACGCTAGTTAAAAATCACACAGATTGTAAAATGGGCAATTAATGCTTATAATTAATACTATGCAACACTTTACCAGTAAGCAATTTGACAACCAACCTAATTTGTTTAAGAAATTAGTTATGCTAAAGTAACAAGGCTGAGCGTGTGCACTGGCATTTAGGAAGTGGCATCTTCCCAAACAAAATCCAAATTAAAAATCCTATCAGTGCCATTGTGATGACAATTGGCATTCGGAAGTGAACAAATTCAATTTTCTCCTTGGTAATTTCAGGTAATTTAGAACAGTTTTGACAAGTGTAATGCATAAACAAATTGAACAGAAATACTCATTATGATTAATTTTGGAGCTTTGTGTCATTGTTGGTAAATGGTCAGTTTACAGTTTTCCTATTATTTCTTTTTGGTGAGAAGAACTAAAAACCACGAGGTCACATAAAAGAAAAAAGGAAACATCTTGTTCAAGAAGATCATGTGGTCACTATCTCTTATTATTCTTATCAACTGTATTTCTGGATTGAGGAAGCCCACTGCATTTCCCCTCTCCCTGCAACTGGAAAGCATTGAAGCTATTGGAACATACAGTCTCAGTTGTGATATCACCTAAGGAAAAAATGAAGAGACTTAAGGCCTTGCTTTCCACTAAAGTGCTGAGCAACAAACTTTCACTTAATATCTTTTCAGTATATTCTGGTCCTCCAGCAAATTCCCACTTAGTGGCGTTCTCTTCTTTTGGAAGAAACTTACCTGAGTTAGAATTTCCAAGTTCACTTTCACATTACTCCTTTAACTTTAGTTAAGAAGTAAAATTTCCCTGTTAGCACATTATTAGGAAGTGGCCTCTTAGGCAAGAAGGGGCATTAGGCAGCTGCCCATGTGATTTGCTTACCTATGTCTGGTGTCTCTGTTTCTAGGGTGCACAAGGTATCCACGAGTAGCAAGTAAAAGCAAATAGAGAGGCATCAGTATCATTCAACAGGGCAAATCTCACCAGACACACCAATCCTAACTCAGCTTGTGGCTGTCAGAGAGACTCTATGGGGAGGGATCATTTAGTCAGATATGCAAGCCTGAGTGGACCCAATCACTGCTGGTTCTCCTGCTAAGATGGTATCAAGGTGATTGAACATCCTGTTTGGTGGGTGGGCAAAGCTCTAAGGCAGTTTTTGCAAAAAGCCCTCTCTGGACCATTTTTATCAGAATCACTCGGGCTCTTGCCATATCTACAGTTTCCTGGGGCTCTCCTAGTCATACTGAGTCAGAATCTCGAGGTGGGAGAGGAACCTGGGGATTTTATTTTTAACAAACTCAGCTGGTGATTCAGACACAAAATAAGGTTTAAAAACAGCTGGGCTGAGGTTTCAGGAAGTAGCCACTGCAAAGGGCCTGAGCATTCTAGCTTCTGATTTGAAAGCCACCTTATCAAAATGCAAAATCCCTGTTTTATTACTGGGTCTTGTGGGACATTCTAAGATTACTGGCATCCCAAACCAAACCCTAAGACACTTATATGACCTCAGAGATAAGGTGAGGACATTACTTGTGCACATTAGTACATTACTCAGCAATATTAAAAAATTAAATTTAAAGTATAAAGGTTTTCTCTTAGACCATGACAGAATGTCCCTGGCATCAAAATAGCTTCAGTAAAATATCTTGTATATCAACTACTAGGTCCTTGTGTGTTCCAGCTGTTCGAGCTCCAAGGGGCAACTGCAATGGGTGAAACAGCACTGTCAGGTCAAAAGAAGCAGAACACGTTGGGGGCTCCTGGTCTATAAGCCATTAGGCACAGGGTATTTCACTCTGGGATCTGCTATGAGGCTTCTCACATAGGGAGTGCAGTCTGACAAGTCTGACTTTGGGTCAAATCTGCCCAGAATTAGAAGACTATAATCATCTGTGAAATACAGTCATTTTAATTTTAAAATCCTTTTAAATCTGGCCCTTTATGTCACTTGGAAAAACACAAAGATAACAAATCTTTTTATCGAAACTAGAAAATATTCTTATTCTTCAGAACATCAGGCAAGAAGAAAAGACACAACATGATTTCATTTGAAGCTGTCTGCTACTACTAATTCAACGCTCTTTAAAGACAATATTCCTGGGATTTTACTAGTTGGGCCACAGGTCACGATCCACTGACTTTTCCTTTTCTCTGGCCTGCCTCAAAAGGGTAGGTATCCTGTGGGTTGACACAAAAGGTCAAAAGGTAAGAAGGGGAGCTCTGATTAGAAACCTGGCCTCAGGCATTTGAACCTGTTTGAGTTTCTTTGTCTCTGGGCACTTGCTTGTTTTTGTGGCCTCTACAATCCTGGCTGAGTGTGCTGGAGGGTGGTTTTAATCACTGTTACATGGTTGATCCTCCTGGAGGAAGTTGAGTTGTGAAAGTACTAGAAGGACCTCATTAAAACATGATTTTACCCACAACATGTTCTCATGGTACAGAATCATCTTAGGTGATAGCAAGGAGGGGGGAAAGGGATGGTTTGACTTTTCAGCAGCTGCTTCTGATCCTGCCAATAATGTCACTCTGAATTTGGAAAGATGTCCCATATTATGCAGAGCAGCTTCTCTCATTAATATCTCAGAAAGAGGAAGTGAAAATGATGGAATTTATTTCCAGTGTGTGACCTTGTTCTGTCTCAGAATTACTTTTAGTTAAGGATTTAGCATTGAGCCACCACCAAAGTCGGTCTGCTGTCTAGCTAGCAACTGACTGCATGCTGAGGTGCCAGTGTGTGAGCTCTTCACAAGGGCCTTTGCCCATCAGTGGCGCTGCCACTTGGCAATTGAATGACTTGAAGCTTGCCATGAGTTAGGAGGAGAAAGGAGTAGAATTACAAATCTTTTTAGAACAAGGAACACTCCTGATGGTAGGATTTTGAAGTTGATCTTTGATTTTGTTCAGTATCTATATGATTAAAGGGGCCATCTATACTTTTTTAATTAAAAAATTAATTGAGATATAATTCATGCACCATAAAATTCACCCTTCTAAAAGTACAATTCAGTAGTTTCTAGTACATCCATAGAGTTGTGTAAGCATTGCCATCATCCAATTCCATGACATTTTCATCATCTCCTGAAGAAACCCTGTATCCATTAGCAGTCACTCCCCATTCCACACCTACCTCAGCCCCAGGCAACCACTAATCTATTTTCTGTGTATGTGGATTTGCCCATTCTGGATAGTACATATAAATGGAATCATAGAATAGGTATCCTTTCACTTAGTATGATGTCCGACCTATTCTTTTTACATTTTCGTGACATGGGAGATGGAGAAAGAGAGACTATGCCAACTTTGAAGTTGCTGTCTAGTGACCTGGAATCATGAGAATTTGCCTGGCCTGCTCAGTGGTGGCTGCAACACTTTACTTGTTCTTCATGCTCTCCTCAGCTTCTTTCCTTAATACTTAGCCTGAAATATTTAATGTTGAAGAACAGACTTTCCTTCCTGCTCATCCTTCCCTGGCATTCTTCCTCAGAAGACCAAGTTCCCATTCCTGCCATTCACTGACATCTTAGTGCTTCCAATGCCACTACACTTATCTAAGACTAGCCTCCCCCTTGCTCCAGCCCTGTCTATAGCCCTTATCACAACTTACCTGTCTTGTGTTTTAGGGTCCTGCTTTCAGCTAGCAGTTCCTTTGAAAATAAATCTGACAAATGAATCCATGCCCAGGGACTAACGAGGATTTTAGCTCGATGGGTCATTCTAAAAGAGGTTCTTGTGGGAACGCTTAGAGATACAATGTCTTAACTCAAAGGAACACATTTTCTAGAGTAGAAATTTGGGGCACTATGTAAGGCCAGTGAAGATGTTTTTGGGTGAGTTGGAGGGAACCTTTGAAAGCCACTGATAAGACATGAGACCACACTGGGGAGGTAACCACCTAGTTAATCTACATGAGTGTTTCTCTATTTGTAGCTTCAGTGCTGTTGACAGAAGGATGGTTCTTGGTCATTTCTCAGATATTATCAGAGATCTCAAAGTTGGGGTTCCATTTGTTTCTTCAGCAGAGTGCTCTAAAAGTTCCATTGCCCCTCAGCATGCTAACTGCCCCCAAGTGGGTGTTATTCCTGTTCTACTTAACCCTCAGTCAATGCCAGGAGTTGAGTCCTGAGAACAATGTGGTAAATATTAACCAGTCACTGTATAGGAAAGAGTAAAATCAAGATAAATTTTCATGTTACATTGACATTTGTCCAGTCCAAATTACTCAAGGTACCAAGAAAAAATTGCCAGGCTCTCATTTTCTTCTTTCTTTCATTTTAACGGAAAGGACACAATAAATTGTGGAGATTAACAGCATCTCGAACAATAACAGCATAGGGTTTTTATAAAGAATAAGTCATTTCTAGTCATGCTTAATTGGTTTTCTAATAGATTTTTTTGAAATTAGAAGACAAGAGGAGAGTAAGACGGATATTCATATTTGAATTTTTGCAGAGAACTTGATATGTGTCTCCTATTTTTACTTACATACTTATCCCTGTTAGATTTAGAAAACTAAAAAGTGTCCTGAAGACCATAATCAAAGGAAAAAGAAATAGTCATAGTTGATGAGAAATAGTTGAAGGACTTGGGCTATTTAGACTGAAGAAGAAAAAGCCCAGGAACTTATGATATCTCTTCATACTGATAAAAGTTTATCAGGTAAAGAGGGACATGGCTTCTGGGCTGCTTCAGACATTAACCTTTGCCACTACTGAGCGGATGTTCCATGAAGGCAGATTTTAGTTCAATATAAGCAACAATTTTCTGATAGAGTACTCCAAAGATGTAATGAGCTGTCTATAGAGCTATTTAAGTTTCCTGTTATTAAAAGAGATCAAACAAAGTAAAGATGATCAAATGTCATGGATGTAATGGGCACTATGTTACACCAGAGTGTTTATGGACTAGAAGAGTCTCTAGACCAGTGGTTCTCAACCTGTGGGTCGCGACCCCTTTGGGGGTCAAACGACCCTTTCACAGGGGTCGCCTAAGACCATCGGAAAACACATATATAATTGCATATTGTTTTTGTGATTAATCACTATGCTTTAATTATGTTCAATTTGTAACAATGAAAATTCATCCTGCAAATCAGATATTTACATGACGATTCATAACAGTAGCAAAATTACAGTTATGAAGTAGCAACGAAAATAATTTTATGGTTAGGGGTCACCACAACATGAGGAACTGTATTAAAGGGTCGAGGCGTTAGGAAGGTTGAGAACCACTGCTCTAGACTCTTCTAACGGTAAGCTCACAAATCTGTGATATCCCTTTGGTGTTACAGAAATAAGTGTGTGTGTATAAATCTTTAACATGAGAAGCAAATCGCTAGAGATACCTAGACTTAAATTAGAAATGACTCTATCTTTAAAAAAATCTTCAAATATTGTATTTTTGACACATTTAATTACATGGTGTTATAAGCTCTCCTTTTTTATTATCTTACCTCAATTTCCCACTGAAAGAAAGCACTAAGGTATGTACATGTGTGTGAAATCTGCAGTGAATAGGCAAAAGGCACTATATACTTAAATAAAAAGAAATAATACTGTTGCTCTTGGCATATTGCTAATGATAAAGCCATAACTGACTTTCCCTTATCCCCCCCCCCCATTCAGCCAGTGGGGGACCAGCTAGATGAAATAAATGATTGGCAACCAATAAATTATTTTTGAGGTCAGATGAAAGGAACTCGGTCGGGGACAGTTTAGATCAGCAGAGCTAAGTTAGAAAAAAATCTATAGTCTTCCAATTTTTGAAATGTCAAGAAGCATCTGGAATTGTTCAATGGGGCCCAATATGGAACAGAAGATGGAAGAGAAGGAAATCTAGAAGGACATCCTAGAGGAGCAAGCTTTATGTTCTTTCAAAATGTCATCAAACTTTGGGCTGAGAACTATAATCTGTGGATCTTAAAACAAGTGAAACTTTATAAAACATGTAAGAGGATGCTCAAATATTAACTTGAAGTCAATTTTATAGATAGGGAAGTAGAGAACAGAGCAGTTAACTTATATAATAAATAACCTGACAGAAAGTGAAGACACAGAACATTCTCTATCCCTTTCTGTAATAACCTATTGAAAATATTACTCTTCTAGGTACAGCTATAAATGCAACAAATAACATAATAACTATATTAGTCTGTGTTTCCAAGGAAACAAATGACTCAACCAAGTAAGATGAATTATATGCACATGGGGGGGGGGCAACTAAATTAACAGATTTTAACAAAAAATTGGTACAAAATGAAATTTTTATCTGTATACAGTAGAACTCAATGAACATTATGGTCCTTAAGATAGCAAAGCGTTATTATATCAACATATTTCTCTCTAGAAAGTTTAAATCTGGAAAATTTATAAAGCAAATGGAGAAATTCACCAATTATATGTGAAAGATGCAATGTACACAGTATAAGCTACTGACCAGGATAGATACTTTTAAAGTAACTGATAGTAACTAATAAGCACTATATTAGTTTCTCAGTAAACATGACAGATAATGTTTGTTGATATAAACTGGTTTGATGTTTTTGACTATAGTCACACAGTTAGGGAGTTACCTGTCAATTAGGTCAAAATGTTCCTGCATATTCAGTCAATTAATTTCTCTGATGGCCAATCACAGGAGTGTTGGAGTAGAGAAGGGAGAACTATTTTTTTCTTTTTGAACCTAATACACTGACTCTTACACATGAGTATATGAAAGGGCTGCATCCACACAGTAGGTTGCTGGGGGAGGGGATGCAGGGAGAGAAGGAAAATATGTGAGAACCTGAAATTACATGTATGATTTTATCTGAATCTGTTTTTTTCTGGGGAGGGGGTCCACAGTCTTTAATACCGGAGTAGGCAAAAATAGGTTTACAGTTGTGAGTACACAAATCACAGAGCTTGTTCTTGTATTATTATTTATTCTTGTATTATATATTTTTTCCATATCAACAACTGTAAACTTATTTTTGCCTACTCCTATAGATTCTTAATGGGTCTGAGAATTAAAAAAAAATGTTAAGAAGAGCTACTCTAAAGGATGTTAGCTCAGAAGAGCCAGCTAGGGAGACTCAGGCTAAGTGGGAGAGCCTGGGTGTGTGAGCTCATGGTGTGTGCAAGCCTTTGTGTTTGAAGAGCTGTGACAATGGGAGAAAACAGTGCTGTGGTGTAAGACTGAATAAAGGGACTGGACAATACTTCACACTGTCAGAAACTAACTTTTCTTTCTACTGAGAAAATTACTTTGGAATTAGGGTCCAAGTTATTCTATTTTATTTTTCTTTTTTTTTTTTAAATATATTTTATTGATTTTTTACAGAGAGGAAGGGAGAGAGATAGAGAGTTAGAAACATCGATGAGAGAGAAACATCCATCAGCTGCCTCCTGCACATCTCCCACTGGGGATGTGCCCGCAACCCAGGTACATGCCCTTGACCGGAATCGAACCTGAGACCTTTCGGTCCGCAGGCCGACGCTCTATCCACTGAGCCAAACCGGTTTCGGCTATTCTATTTTATTTTTCAAATGACTTTGTGTTGAAGGTCATAAGGTGCTTTGGACTATAATGCAAATTTGTGAACTGTTAAGGATCCTTGACCAAGGAGAATCTCATCAATGAATGACAATTGCTCCACCTTAGGGAAATTTTCATTTAAATTATAATAAAAAGGACTATATTTAGCTGGATTTTCTTTATAGTAATATTTTCTTTGCTTTTATAGGTAATCCTAAGATTTTTTTCTTTGAGGAGATGGCTATATAGGATTAGCTTTATAGGGTTCAGTATATAGGCTCAGCAAGACAAGAGCTCTATCTATCTGACAGTCCCTATCTGTATGACTGGAAACTTTCAGATGGTGAATGAATTGTTCAGTGTTCTGTCCATGTTTGGCATCATGTAGACTGAGCATTTCTAGGATTTTGAAAATAATCTAGAATGTTGTATAAATCATTTCCAAGTCCAGGCGTACGACAATCCTAGCGTTCCTCTTTGGTTTCCCAGTAAGTAGTTGCCCAAAGAGATATACTGCTGGAAATGACAAGTCCCTGCGACATCCTGAGGTATATGAACATTTGATTAGGGCAGGGTGGTATGAATTAGTCCTTCTCTAGACTCTATAGATGTGCTTTATCTTTCTAAAATCTTAATTTTACAGTCCATTTTTTTATTAGCCAAGGGATTTAACAGCTTTCTTCTCTATGACAGCGTTTGCAATTCTAATTAAGGAATGTATTAAAACTGGAGTGAATTAATGTGAAAAATAGATGGGGGCATGGGACTAGAAGATTTCCCTTGCTAGGTGTGAAGGACTAACTAAGTCTGAGAAAAGGGAGGTAGATTCCAAAGCAAGCACAAGAATACGAGAAATTTAGATGAATGTCCAAATGTATTCAAATCTCCATGGTCCTGTGAACAGAAGTGTTGAATGAAAATGACCTAAGACTTTTCATGTGCCTTGACTAGCCTTGACGGTGCTCTGTACACTTAAGATGCTCCATCAAAGTCTCTGATCAATGAGGTGATGCCTGAGGCAACAATTGTTTAATACATCAGTTTATAGGATGAAAATATATTATAGCATCAAAATCTTCCGGGACCTAGAGAAACTTTTAGCCTGAAGTTCCAAAGATGTATGGCAAAGATAAAGCTGCCACAACCAACTAGAAGGAAGGCTCTACCAATTTAGCTATGGGAGAAGAAACAGGTCTGTCTATCCTGATGGGATGGAGGTGGATGCTTTCCCTTTCTAGGACTCCAGAAGGCATGTATTTGTGTCTTATAGGCCCGAAGGGATAAAACAAAGCTGATTAAACTATGGTTTACATAGTTCAGGACATTAACTATTAAAAGGTATGAATTCCTTTCAAGGTGTTTTGACTTTGTACTTTCAAGAAAATTCCTAGAACAGTATAAGAAAATCTCAAGATGAATACTTTAATCATTTTTCTCCCCATTGGGATAGAGCTTTTAAGGGTAAAAAACTCATTCTTCCCTTTTTATCATGCCATGTAAACACAGACTTACATTTTCTTTTATATGAAGTGACTACTTCAAAAGATGGGACCTGAAGAGTTTAGAAAGGTTAGCCTTTTGAATCTGGCAACACACCTATGTGCTAGAGCAGAATAGGTATTTCCAATCAGTCTTTGTAGTGGCCAGAAGGGGTTGAGTGACTTACCTGAGCACTTGGAAGTATTGAGATCCATGTCAGTGATGGCAGTGCACACAGGGAAAGCCACACATACAGGGATGTCAACACTTCCTGGTTCTCCAAAGCAGTACTCAAAGTTTCCTTCAGGTCGGAGGAGTAGGCATGCTGACCTATGTCCTGCATCCCTAATTTCTGCATCTTACTTCAGGGCTACAATATGGGCAACTGTATATCCTGCTCCTGGCAATGCCTTGTCTCTTCACGTTATCTCATTCTTGCTTTTTCTTATCCGGTAAACATAGAGATTAGAAGAGACTTACCTTAATTCCAAAATACCAACAGAGTTTCCTGAGGGAAATATTCGCCTTACAAAATTGAAGTCGCCAACATACACACTACCATCAGGGCCAGAAGCTAAGGCAACAGGAGCAAAGAGTTTGTTGTTATGGGCTGGGCCATTGCAGTTGGTGCAGGCTACACTCCGTTGGTGTCCATTACCCATTATAGTTGATATGACTGGGGGCTGCTGGGAAATAAACATATTTTCTCCGTTCCCTTTATGTATGATTCCTAGATCCAAGAAAAAAAAAGGGAATAAAATAAAAACAATTACCACACAACATTTTCAGCAACATTTTAATTTTTCTCTCATTGTGCAAAGCAAGGAGGAGCTTTGGCATTGGTATAAAAGAATTTGAGAGTGCAACATACTACTCTTGGTTTTATTGAACTGCAGAGCCACCATAAATCGTACCACAATGCTTTGCCTCAGTTTGCCCATCTGTGAAATGGGTTAATACATCCAGTTCCTTTAATGCTGATGCTAACTGCCTTAATAAAGAATTTGATGACCAACTTGTAAGGATGTCCTGTTCACTGTGGCTTAGTTTTCATCTCTGACTGACTTTCTCCTGATGCTGGGCACACAAATGCCTGACTTAAAATTACCCTCACTATGCAACTGGTTCCTGAAAAGTGAGTATCAGTCAATTTTAATATTAACCTTAGCAAAACACAATCAGGAAAGTAATCTACTTCCGTGAAAAGAAATCATATCGCTAGAATGCACTTCAAAGATATAAGAAAGGGACTTGAATTTTCCACTCTTTTGGACCGTATCTCACTATCATCAGTGCAGGAAATAGAGATACTGACTTATGAAAATGCTGGAAAATCCTGTGAAATCATTCTCTTTGGGCAATCTCTTCCATTCTCACAGCTTTAACTCTCATCTCTCTACATGCCAAAATTTTCTCCTGTCCAGAGTCTCACCTGATGTGCAAATACCTACTATATCTTTTTATTTGGATCCCCTAAGGTACCTCAAGCTCAACAAGTTTAAAACTGATTTCATCATTTTTGTACCCCTTACCAAAACATGCTTTTCCTCCTTTGCTCCCTAATCATCGTATAAGTGGTACTACATGTGTGTATTTACCTAAGTTGGTAATGTGGGCATCACCGTGGGTCTTGTTTTCCTCATTTTCTAAACTTAATTATTAACTCTACCCCCCACCCTGTTGGGTCTATCTCTTTAAAATATGTTGAACCAGTTTTGTATTCTCCATTCACTTTAGTTCAGTTTTTCTTAATTTCTTGGTCTCTTGTTCTCCATGTATACCTATCTTCAAACCATCATCCACACCTTTTAATAGCTCCATATCCTTCCTTATTATTAAGGCATGCAAAGTCCTCCATGATTTATATGGTCTTTGACTACTTCTTCACTCTCTCGTTTCATCGCTCTCTCATTCGTATGCTGAGTTTTAGCTATAGTGGGACTATTTATAATCACTCTCACATAGTCCCATTCCTCTCTGCTTTTGTACATGCTGTTCCCTCTATTCTGAATGCCTTCCTTATCTTGTCTGCTTGGGGAACTCTTACCTATCCTTTAGAGCTCAGCTCATTTCTTCCCCAATGTTCTGTCCAGGCAGAATTAGTTACTCTCTCCTCTGTGTGCCAACTGTTTTGCATAGCTCTATCATTACATCTATCACACTATTGGGTGCATTTTTCATTACTTCTCTATCTTCCCATTAGAACATGAGCTCCTTGAAGGCAGACACTCTGTCTTACTCCTTTCTTCATTTTAGTGTCAATCCCTGTGGCCCAGTCATTGTAAGTGCTCAGTAAATGTTGAAAAGAGGCTTTGAGTTTCTTGTAGTTTCCCTATCCAAATCCCAGTGATTTTTCAGACTGCTAAGCCTAGGCAGATAATCCAAGGAACAGGTCCTACTGTGCTAAATAAACAGCTAAAGTCTGCTCAGAATGAGCCAGGGCAGGTAAAGCATCCACAATGTGAGAGGCATACCAATGTGTCAGACTGAAGTAACTGACAGCAAATGAATGAATGCAGTTATCTTGAACAGTCTTATTTTTTCTCTCACAACCTCTGTTATCTATCTCCTCGATTGCCTGTTATTCTCCCTAAACATTTCCTAAAATGCCGTCCTCAGTTTACTTCCAATATTTGGTCCCATAGTCCTACAATGGAAATCACTGATTACTCTGAAATAGGAACATTATTGGCAAAAATAAATAAGAGGGTAAAACATGCACAACACCATGGCACTAAATATGTACCTGGAAGGGGCCTTCCAGAAAACAGAAATCCCATACATCGTATACACTTGTGATTTCATAGCTAAGTATTTTTACTTTCCCTCCCAAAGTGATTCCTGGCTACTTGTTTCAACATATGATCTGCAGGAGCAGTTATGAGTTTATGCCCCAACAAAGTGGTCTTTTATTTCAGAACTATTAGATATCTTAAAGATAACTACTTTATTAATTTTATTAATAACTTTGTTAGGCAGTAAAATTTTTCTTAAGATTTAGAATAGTTAATTAAGTAAGATTAATAGGACTGAATCTCATTTCCCCAAAACATTTAATTGCAGTGTGATCGATACTGTAATTTAAATGAATTGGGAGAAAGTGAATGAGAACTGGAATGACAGTTGTACAACATCAGTGAAAAGAAATCTCCTGATGATCACTAACTGAATATCCTACCAATGAGACTATGATATGCACTCTAATAAATGAAAAAACCAACTGTTTAGCATGTCAGTATTTCAGCCATGCACTATAGGGTATATCATTCAAAAATATTTCCAATTATTGTCTTGGAAATATCATATTTGCTATTAACATCTATTTTCCCAGGTAGATCTCTTTTTTTATATCAATGTAACGGTATAGTTAACAATTACCTTCAAAATGACATGTTATTACCAGGCTCCTGGCAATTTAAAAACGAAAGATGGCTATTTTAAACCATTCTTCTAAGCCTGCAATTCTAAACCTCCCCTTTTCTATTAGAAAGCCCAGCACTCCATCAAAGAAGAAGAATGATTAAAGGAAATAAAACATAAGGCAATGTACTTTCTGATTACATCTCAAGAATTGATGTCTTGCTTTCATGCAAGGTACTAAAGTGCCCGTGTACTGAAATTACCATTCCTGTTTAAAGCTGAAGCAATCAAAACAAAAATGGGCAAACCCCTTTTGTATTGCCCTGGAAGAATAGATCATTTTGAAGGGTGTCTTTGTTGTTTCAAGAATCTGTTTAACCTTCCATTACATAGAACCAGGGCATACCATCTAGCAACAATGATTTAACACCAATTCTTCTGCAAAAGGTTGCTTTGAAAATATTTTGTTTATGTTCCTGGAAATCTTGATCAATTACGGCTGCCTCCCTTCCAGCTTATTCTGCTATACATGCTCATTTTGAAAACAGAATCAAATGAACCGAGGATATCACACATTATTTACACGAAGGCCAACTCCCTGCTAAGGATTGGGTGTGTTGTTTACAGGCAACTAAGAAACCACACTGGGTGGATCCAATTGCACATTCTCTCTCCTAAGTTTCTCTTTTCTCTGCCCCCAAAGCCAAGTCTGTTGTGTAATAAGTTAAGCATACTTTTAAACACACTACTCATAGCCTCCTGCTACTTTGCTCAGAACTTCTTTTGAAGCTTATAAATAAGTTTGAAATAAAAATTCCCTCTGGAAGCCAGTGGGTGGTGCTTTACGCTGATTTCAAAGAAGAAACCATTTTTCAGGCTTATGAACAACAAGAGACACAATACATATTTCTCTTAGGACTTGACTGAGAGGATATAAACACAAACTGGGAGATATGCCAGTGTGATCAATGGAAATTTACTTCCCCTCCCAGTAAAACCATTTGTTGACACACCGCTGGCCTATCTTGGAGGCCAAGTTAAAGAAAATCCTTCATCCATTTCAGACAGATGACAAGACCCAATTAGTACCCTGGATTGTTCTTTGGAATAATTTTAACACTCAACTGCAGGGAACACTAGGGGATCCGTTTGGTATGAAGACCTACTATAACGAACAGCTCACGCTGCAATAAATGGATTCATGTACACATTTTTATTTCACACAAATTTAAAGGACTGATTTGCCTTAAAAGGAATCTCTGTAATTACTGAGAAGATGTATTTTGAAGGACTAATATTTAAAAACACAAGTTCCTGATGTTTCTTTATTTCAGTGAAAGTAGGAACCATCTCTCTCTATATATATGTATCAGGCATAATATTTGGAAATAATTCTCCACAACCAATGGTTAATTGTCAGGTAAATATAATTGCTGCAACAAAAATGACAAATGGTCTGAAAACACTGCCTACTAGAAACTACCCACTGCTTAATGATTGCAGAGCCAAAGAAAAACTCGAGAATTGAATGACAGCAGACATCCAATCTAATTACAGGTGTCTTTTTAACCAGTGAGAGAAAACTGGGGGAAGATAGATTCTTGTTTCTAATCTGCTATCTGTCTCAGATCAAAAAAGCAGGGTGCCTAAAGAGTTAGGCTTTTTCCAGAAAGAAGTGGAGTGGGGGAATTTGAAGAAAAGACGCTCTTGCCTTAATCAGCCAGAAAAGACTGTCTGACCTGAGGGGGAAAGAGCATTGCTTTCTAAATTGGTCTTCCCAAAGCTGCTCCCTCACGCTTATCATTCCTGCTTCTAAAACTGCTATTGTGGGTGGGATTTAGACTTCACAAATGTCCCAAGAGAGGTGTTCCAGTCCAAGGTCAGGCTGAAAGGCAATGGCTTCAGATCTGTTCCTGGCAAGTGTGACCAGTTTCTGGTTAAAAATACAATGTGCCTACAAATGAGAAGATAAAATGAACAAATGTTCCTTTAATAAAAACTATCCAAAGTAAGGTTTCTTTTTCAGGATAGAATTCTCAGAAAAAGACAGAAAACAGATTTAGTGGGGCTGGGGTGAGCACAGGGGTTTTTTGGGGGGTGATAAAAATATTCTGAAACTGTGTTGTGAAGATTGCACAACTGTACAATTTACTAAAAGTCAGTGAAATGTACACCTAAAATGGGTGAAGTTTATGGTGTATAAATTATACTTCAATAAAGCTGTTAAAAAGAGTCTCAGAAATAAATTGGTACCTTTACCTAAAAATTAGTTATTGGAGAATAAGAGGAATAGAGAATACATTTGTGGAAATGTGAGGAGGGGCCCAAAGCCGACTTTCTGAATGGCTCCCCTCTGTTCTGAATGTTTAAACCTGTGTGAAGCAAATGGTAAGAGGATACAGGACTGGGAGCACACAGCTGGGGGCTGGCTCGATTGAGGTCATTTCTCATTTTGTGTTTAATGTCAATGACAGGCATTTGAAAGAGACAATCCATACAAGCCAATAAAAGTGAGTGGAAAAGAAATGGCTGCTTAAAATGTCAAACTTTTTCAAATCAAAACAAAAAAAATCTAATAATTTAATAAGTGGCATCTGCCCTTTCGTTTTTGTACTTTTAAAACTGTGATTCTCCTTTTGACAATGGAAAATAAGTTGACATTTTATATCTGTGCCTGAATCTATGCTGTTAAAAAAATAAGCAATTTGAAATAGAATTTAGAATTTTCCTTGAAAGTGGGGGAGGAGGTATAACAGGGGCATACAGCAATGGAATCATTCACCTTCAGGATCCCACATTGGGAATATGGGAGGTGATCTCATTCTATGGTTGAAGCGAAACTGGTTAGCTTTGCCAACCAAAATTTCCCAGCCTATGTGGCTGTTTGGCTTGGCTGATCCAATTATGGTGTAAATGAAGTAAGATCATAGATTTGATTATTAAATGGATCTCTTAGCTCATGACCTTAAAAGATAACTGGACATTAGCCAGCTGGTCCACAAAGGTAAGGTAGATTACAAGGATGGCCAAATGCAAGAATGTAGCTGCCTCAATATATTCATACCCCAATCCTGGACAAATAACCCAAAGTACATGTTCCACTGAAGGCTGCTAAGAATCTGCTTCTTTAGATGAAAAGGAATGTCATTTCAGTGAAAACTTACCAGCTGATGCTCAAATGACAGCTGGATGGAAACACCAATGACTGGTTTCCCAGCAGGATGCAAAAGGAGATGGAGGAACTATGATGAAGCATTTATGACCAGGGTAGCAAAATCAGTTGTGTGAGACACATGGGCAGAAGAGCCACCTGCAGTCCCTTCTCCTGATTTATCTAACGTTTATATTACAAACTAGGACAAAGTGACAGCAGAAAATGTGGTTCAAAGAAGGAAAACACTGAAAATGAGAATGTCTTGTACTCATTGCTCTTTCTTCTTTTCCTAAGTCCAGAACTTAGGAGCCTTAAAACTAAGAGAAACCCAGTACAGCACTCTTCCCCTCCTAGCTCTTCTCTTCTTTTACCCATCACTGTCCTTTTACTCCTACCTTCTTATTGGACATACTGATATTTATGTGGATAAACAGCTACCATGTAGGAGAAAGAGCACATGGCTCTAGCCACTTACTGACTGCAATGTTGGGGAAGGTCACATGACTATCTAAGTCTTAGACTCTTGATCTTTCAAATGAGGTGAATGCCATTTTGCAGGGTTGCTGTGTTTAAAATGGGACAAAGTTCACTAAACCCTTTGAAACTGCATTACATAGATGATTAATTCTCAGGTGTACATTTTGCTTCACATTTAAACATCTCTAAAATAAGTATTTATCTAACAATCAATGTATATCATAGTCTAATCGGCAGCATTTTCCATAAAATAATGGTGTACTTATAACCGAAGGTGTCTTAGATTGTATGAAATATGCCGATTATTATTCCACTTTTAAAAAGTCGGTTACAATGTCAGATAAACTTGTTAATCACTTGTGATAGAGCGATAAAGATAGTAAAACCAAGTTTCATATAACTTTGTGATGAAGAGGTCTCACTATACTAGCACTAATTGGAAATCAGATTATTATATTTGAAAGGAAATAAACTAACATGGTCTTCTCTAGGTTGTGAACCCTCAGGCAATTTTTTCCTTGTAATTTTTCAAATTTTCTGCAATGAATAATGTAATATATAATGTAATATAGCATTAGGAAAAGAGTATTAAGTAATATTTTAAAAGCTGCTTACCACTTTGAGGATTGAAAATATGATGCTTATTTAATGACCAGCCTCCTAGGTTAGAAGCATCCATCTCAAAACCTTGTAAGATGACTGTCCTTTTCTCCCAGAGAATAAAGTCAGGGCAGGTTTCATATTCATATCCCACAGATACTGCGAACAAAGAGTTAATAACACTTTAGAAAAAATTCAAAAAATTTGTTTCATTTTTACCCTGTTGATAATTCTGTGGATATTGCATTTACTACTGAATTCTGACTTGGGTTGAAATTTGACACAGTTCAGCACAGTGCCTAGCATAGCACTGGGCATCCAAAAGTGGTCAGTCAGTGCATATTGGATAAATGGATGAATGAGTGAGTGAGTACTGTCATTAGGCATCTACCATATGTTTATAGCATTAAGCTTTAGTATGGGATTTTGGGTTGGAAGCTATGTTGTAAAATTGGAGAAATAAGCTCTCTGAAGACTTAAGCTGTGGTGACATGATTTATTTCTTTACCTTTGTAGAAGAAGTGCTGGTTTCTTCTCTCTCTAAACTGCAAAATGCACTTATGAAGCTGGCTGTGAGGTACTGGGACCCTTATACAACAACTGACAACATGAGTCTAATAAAAATTAATTTGCCCAACTTATATTTTCTCTTGCATGAACTGGCCTTTAGTTTGTTGAGGAGTCTGAATTTGCTTAGAGTGTTGAAAGCGCTTCCAATGTAAATTCCACATTGTGCACATTATATTTTGGTTTCTGTATATAGCCAACCAATGGGACATCACCCAACATTTGGCTTCAAGTCTTATGAAGCACAGATGTTGTGCATTAAGCTTGGAACCCTGGTATGCCACTAAAATGGGAAGTATGGGATGTGGTAGCTTGGGTACTGAAGTCTGCATAGCTCAAGTACACCAAGTCCCAGCCATTGTCTCAGTTGGTAAATCTGATTACCTGTTAGAACCCCAAATTTCTGATTCTTGAATTTAAATGCTTTTTGTTCTCATAATGTTAAAAAAATGGAGACTATTGGCTCATTGCACTGCATACTCCAAAGCTTCTTTCCCTCTTTCTGGCAGCTTGAAATATCCCTAGCTGGTTGTCTGCCATTGCTTTTGAGTACCTGCTTCTACTTGACTCATTAGATGCTCTGGGAGAACTCATTCCTTCTTTTGTCATTTGGTTATGGAAACTGGTGATAAAAATGTGTGCTTAAACAATGCCAGCACAGTAGATCCACAGATGAAAAATTAAAGTGAGACAGTTTTGGTTTTTGGCATTAGATGAAGAGAAAGATGGAATTTTTTTTCATTTTTTATTAGTTAAGGTATTACAAATGTGTCCTCATCCCCCCCATTAACCCCCAACCTCCCCCCCCCGCCCCGCACACTCGTGCTCCCATCCCCCTGTTGTCCATGTCCATTGGTTTGGCTCCTATACATGTATACAAGTCCTTCGGTTGATCTCTTCCCCTTACCCCCGCTCTCCCCTACTTTCCTAATGGGGATTGATAGCCTGATCGCTGTTTCTCAGTCTTTGGATCTGTCCCTTTTCATCAGTCTATGTTGTTCTCTATAATCCACAAATGAGTGAGATCATGTGGTATTTATCTTTCTCTGACTGGCTTATTTCACTTAGCATAACGCTCTCCAGTTCCAGAAAGATGGAATTTTTATTCAAACTGATGTATGTGTGTATGTGCATATGTGAGCACATGCACAGATAAGCCAAAAAGTCCTTTTGATTTTAAATACAGAACTCTCTAACTTTGTGGATCATGTGTGGCCAATTTTAAATCAGACTGGCTTCTCTTTGTCCCAGGCTTCACCAAAGCTTCAATAGGGACCAGGACCATTTTCATGGGTGTGCGACCTCTGCAGTCTCACAGGGGCCCATGCTCAGAAGGGCCCCACACTTGCTTCAATACTCTGCTGTCACTGTCTTAAAATCCTTAATACTTTAAAAATATTTTTATTGATTTCAGAGAGGAATGGGGAGGGAGAGAGAAACATCAATGATGAGAGAGAATCATTGATAGGCTGCCTCCTGCATGACCCCCACTGGGGATTGAGCCTGCAACTGGGCATGTGCCCTGACTGGGAATCAAACCGTGATCTCCTGGTTCATAGGTTGACACTCAACCACTGAGCCATGCTGGTCAGGCTCCTTAATGCATTTTAACAAGTAGCTCTGTATTTTTACCTAATGGTGGGTCCTGCAAATTATGTGGCTGGTCCTGATGCAGATGCACTCCTACCCTGCCATCAGCTGGTGAAGGCTCATGGAAGGCAAACTCATTTTACTATTAGTCCTAAACAAGCATTATTAGCAAGTGAGATCAATGGGGAGTGGGAAAGACTAATAATGAAATGGAAATAATTTCTAAAAGTTTGGGATCATCTTTGCCAATGCTGTTCTCTATTAAGGTGGATGGAATAGAATTTCAATAAAGTAAAGGATCTCGAAGGTAACCTAATTCAGATTATGCTTGTGGCACAAATCATTGCTGTCTGAAATCTCCTTGGTTCTGATGCTTGCTAAAACAACTCTGGTATAGTGGAAAGACATGGTTTCAGACCCAGAGTTAGAAAAGACTTCAACTCTTGGCTCTGCCATTAGCTTAGCCGTATGGTCTTGGGCAAATTATTCTCCACTTCTGGGAGTTGTGTTCTTTATTGGTAACAAAGTGTGTGTGTGTGTGTGTGTGTGTGTGTAGAGGGGAGAGCAGAGTAGGTACTAGAAATAGTGGTTCTTAGACCTTTCTGGGTCAGGGAACTTTTTATTATGAATTTGATAAAAGTTATGGATTTTCTTCCTAGAAAATCGCATATGCACACAAAATTTTATATATAATTCTAGGGAGTGTTCACTGGCCTCCTGAAATGATATTCTCAGATTAAGGACCTCTGAACTAGGTCATTTTTATAATCCCCCATTATCACTAACACTCTATGATTCTAAAGTGCATTCTTTCAAGATTGCATTTGACCAGTTCAAGTTGGTGATCAAACCAAAAAGTCAAAGATGCACACTTATGGCCATGCTGGTGTGTAGAAGAATATCATTTTTGCTTCCCTTGCCTACATTTATGTCTTGAGTAATAAATAATCACAATGGCAATGATTACAAGTTCCCTTCATGCCATCAACTCCTTCCCTACCATTGCCAGGATCTGCCTTTTGTACATTGTAAGCCTGGTGAGCTCCCCTACAATCCCTTCTCCGGAAGGTGATTGTGCAGTTTTGTGAATAAGTAGTATGCTCTGGTGACCTCTGATGGTAATTTGGAGCCTGCTTCTCCACTCTCAGTAACAGTTAAAGATCTTCCCAACTCTATGGCAGAAAATGCTTACATAAAGTATCAATGAAAGAGTTCTCGATGCAATGATAATGAGACATATTCTTTTCACCTCCTCATATCTGCTTTCTGAATTGCTCTCTAGTCCACAACAAAAAAGTGCATTGGTTGCAAACCCCACAATTATATTATTCCACCCCCCCAAGTCATAGCAAATAGCAACAAGGCAGCCACTTAATAAGTTCCCTCTAATTTTTATTAGATTTACTTTCTTGTGAGAAAGCTCTATGGGCTAATAAAGTTATAATTTATACTTAAGACTTGTCCAAAATTCCAACTGATTTTAATGAGAATGGCTGTGTCGGGGTATTTTTTTATGGGACTCCTTATTCAGAGTAACAAGGCAAGGTTTCTTTCTGACAGCAGCCCACTTAAGCCGAATCCTGGAACTTACACTCGGCTTATGAGAAGGCAGACATTTCACCCCACGGAGTTGAGCTGCTTTCCAAATACAGTACCAACCAATTCTAGACTTCCTCTCATAGAAGCAGACTATTATGCACTAAATGCCTACTCTTTTTCAGATAATTAAATATGGGGGGAAGGGGTTACTCAGGGGCTGGAACTGAAAATGCTGAGTCCTGACATATACTCTCCCTGGCACTGTGACAGCCGAGTCTCCATTAAATAGCAGGGTGGACCACTACCATTTCCCAGGCAGCCTGTTGCCTCTCACATTTGATCATCAACACAGCAGGGTATAGACCACAGATTCAGCCTCTGGCACTCTAAAGTGGGGACTAGGAAGAACAATGTCATAGGAAGGAAAAATAATTATTCACCAATATTTCAGAGGAGCTAGAGACTATAGACTAGTCTTGCAGTGAGTGGAGGTAGGTGGGGAAGGGGGTTCCTGAACTATACTTCCCAGGGGCTTGCATACTGGGTCCCTTGCTGGTGTGTATATATGGGAAGGAAGTTGAGAAATGGCCATTAATAAAGGCACAATACTTTTTCTGAACCATGTGACCTCTTCTCTGGTGACACCCTTTAATTTCATCTGGATTTCTATCTTGTATTCTCTACCTCACCTCCTCACAGAGATATTAATGAAATGTTCTTTAACCAAGAGTCATTGATTGTCAAGATAGGCTTGTTACTTTTGCACCAGTCACAGGATTGCACCTCTGACTTCACTGTTAGTTATCTTGCAAATATTACAATGGCTTACAAAGAAAAGCTGCAGCTTGTTCCCCTAAAGCCATTTGACATTGGGAAAATAACTGAATGCTCATTGTACTGATCACAGCAGCAGCATTTGTATGATGTGGGGACTGTAAGAAGGCTGAGGGCCACAGTGCTCCTGACACCCAATTTAGTGGCTGTGACATTCACCTACAGGGCTGGGGTAGGAGATTGACATTAAGTAGCTAGGGAAAGATGCCATGCAATGAAGCTGATGTGTGAAATATGACAAGATTAAGCAGCTGATTTTCAACAGCTTCAGGCTAAGGCTTCAGAATTCATAATGGTTGCATTTATGAAGGCAATATATAATTAAAAGTAGTCTGATAGTCAGTGTGAGAAATTTACATGTTACCTTCATGAACTCAAGGAACATCTAAAAATAATTTTATGACATTCAAATGGTAGATCAACACCTTCTTACCCCAAAGGGATTTTTAAAACAGAATAATAAATATGTCCCACTCTTTTAAAATACTAGATTAATGCAAAACACCAACGAAACATAAAAAACAAAAGATCTAAAGAACCAAATGCAGGCCATGGCAACAATAGACCAAGCCTATGTAGATAACATGCTATCTACTGAGACCAGGTACCTGCTCCCAGAGCTGCTTATA